GGGGGGGGGGGGGGGGGGGGGGGGGGGGGGGGGGTGGGGGGGGGGGGGGGGGGGGGGGGGGGGGGGAGGGAAGTGCGGAGGTGTGCAGAGTTTGGTTTGAGGAAGTGTGAGTTTAATTTACGAAATATAGGTTCGGGCGGGCGCAGAGGTTTGTGCAGAGGAAGCGCGAGAATTTGGATGGCAGGACAGTTCCGCAGTTACGCGAGGTAGTTTTCGAGCTGCAAGAGACCAGAAATAAAGTTGATAATACATGTAAAACGCGTTAGTGAATTTATATTCGGTGTCTATTTGATGAGATGAATGAGCGGGCGATTCAAAATACAACGGGAAGCAATATAATAGCTGTTCGCTATAAAATGCGTATTGGTATTTTACATAAGCGAGGCTTCCAGACACGTATTTTGTGTACAAAATACATAGAGAGGTCAACGGGAAGTAAAAAATTTGAATTCTACGATGCACTTGAAAAATTTATAATAAAACAGTCTTCAAGAAGCAATAACTGTGAATGCAAAACATTGTTGCAAAAACTGATTACAAATGCACTGCAAATAATAGTACTTGATATTTTTTTTTCAGGAATTTTTCGAAGGTGACAATGTGCAGCCACCGGAAACGGAAGGCTGGTTGTTGTTGAAGTCAGATGGGAAAAAATCGTGGAAGAAGCATTTCTTTGTGCTTCGTTCATCCGGCCTGTATTACTGCGCCAAGGGTAAAAGTCGCAGTTCGAAGGATCTTCAGTGCTTAATGAATATGCAAACCAATCAAGTGTATACATGCACTGACTGGAAGAAGAAATACAAAGCACCGTCGAGTTACGGCTTCGCCATTAAGGTACCTTTGAGAATTCTTTGTGGAGAATCGTTCCGATATCGTGAAATTTTGCGAGAAAAAACGTGAAGTGGGCGACATAAAAACAGAGTAAATATGAGTCTTTAGACCCACGAAATAACAACTTATAAACATTGTAATAACTCTAATTGCAAAATTAGGTAAAAAATATTCAGTAAGAAATTTGAAGAGTTAAAAATATGAATTGTACGATACATGAGAAAAACTTTAAAACAATACGTAACAGTGTTCGCCAAATGCAGTTATCAAAAAGCTATGCCATAACAAGAACAGATTACTTGTCACAAACGCACTGCAGGTGGGGAAAGGTCCGCTACACTGAGGTGTTACTGAGTACGAGGCATTATAACCGTTACAAATTATCACTGAGACATCCCAGAAGAAGTAAGGCATTGCTCCAATAAGTAGTTCTTGTATTACTGTGTCTGGTTGTGTGGCAGGCAGCTTTTCTGTTTGCATGGTGACCAGTGTTGCATCGGCTTGTGGCCAGTCTGCTGGCTGTCTTGATGTTCTTTTTGTCAAAACCATACAATCTTTACATAGATAAATGACGACAAAGGATTCACATTGTTTTGCGCAACAGATCGTGCGCATTTCGTAGCTAATAACTTTATTTCCTAGCAACTCCTTCTAATATTTTTCCATTTCAGCACCCAAAAATACAAGTAAAAGCGTCGAAGTATATAAAGTATGTGTGCACCGAAGATGCGGCAACATTTAACAAATGGATGGTCGCCCTAAGGATTGCAAAGGTTAGCCATTTCTCCTCTTTCTGGATGTTGTATGCTCGGCATCAAAAAATTAGCTAAAAAAATAAGAAAGAAAGTTTTTTTTTGACACTGAAATGTTCTTGAGGAATCTGCCAACATATTTTTCCGGAACAAAGTTTTATTATCAACAGAACGTTTGTTTATTTAATCCGAGACCTCGTCCTCTCCGT